ATCTGAAATCAGAAATTAAGTTATTATAGTGAGCTTTTTGAATAATTTTTAGTTTTTGTTTTTCATAGTGTATATTATGAAATTGTCTCGTAGAATATTAATTTTGAAGAATAGTAATTTAAAAGAATCTTAATTTTGTAGATTTTTCATTTTATTTATTTCCTTTAAAAATATAATTAAATAAAAAAGAGCAAGGTTCAAGGGGTTTTCAGCAAAGATAAAAAGATGGACAATAATTAAAAATTAAAGTACATCATTATGATTTTAAAATATAAATAAATATATATATATATATAATTAGTTAATAAGATATTAATTTTTATTACAATATATATTTGAAAAAAATTAATGAAAACACTTTTTTAAGATCAAGTTTACAAAAAATATTTTAAATAACAAAAATATAAAATATTATTCAGCAATAAAATTTAGAATTAGGTAATAAAAAAAATTAATTAAACTAATTTACCCTAAAACTTTTGAATAAATTTGGAATTTATTATTAAATTAAAGAGTGTTAAATATAACTCAAAAAAAAGTATAACAAATTTATAATAAAAACAAATTCTTTATTTATTCTTTATTTAATATTCTTCAATTTGAAAAAATCGAACAAAAATTCTTCCAACGAAAATTTTTAATACAAGAAATTAAAAAATTGTTTATTTTAAAGAAACTATTGTAATTTAAAATTTTTGTTATACTCGTCAAATATCTCACTAAGGATTTTGATTAATTATTATTTAAATTATTCAACTAATTTATGTAATTTTAATATGTATATTTTTCAATTCTTTTACGTAAGCTTGAAAAATAAATAAAAAAAAAAAAATTATTTAATTAAATTAATTGAAAAATTATTCACTAATTTATTATCAATTATAAATTTCATAAAATCGTAGCATAATAATACTCACAATAAAGCACTTCATTTTGATTGTAGTTTTATATTGTTTACAAGAAAAAAAAAGAGTATTTCAAGTCAAGCACTATTGATGCACAAAGACTGAATGATGCTCCTGGATTTTCAGTGTGTCCTTTATATAGCTGGCGATCTAACAATCTTAAATATTCACGCGTCATATATAGCACCTTAGGATTGATCAATCAGTGTCTCGAGTAACAAGCTCCTCGTGGGGTTGAACTTGTCAAACGTTACCTATTGTTTACTCACAGGTCGTAATACGCAATATGTAATGCCTAACGAGTATATATCATTCCACTATATATGTAACAGTGTTAAACACCACATGGGTTTGGATTATAAAACAAATTAAAAGACCTTGGCAATCGTCCAAATCTGGACGAAAGTATTGTTTAATAATGTATCGCCTTCGGACCTCGTACTCGAGGTCTTAATTAAATTTTATTTGATATTCTGCGCGAACTTATTGGTAGATGGTCAATGTAATTGTTAGTTTGATAATAGATGCAATAAAATAATAAATATTCATTCAATTTCTACTGTAGTGCATTGCTTTCTATAGGTAACTATTTGTATACACTGGGATATTCATCAAAGTAAATCTAATATAGGTCCATTTAGGTACAATGTAGTGTTACGTCACAAAAATGTGAAAATAACTTAGAAAATAATATTTTATTTATGTCCGCTTCGGTGATTCAGTGATTATTCCTGTTTCATTTACAGAGTAGATGGTTCTGAGCTAAGGGTACAGTTAAGAAAGAGAAATATAGAAATTTAAATCACAAGGTTACAAGTTTATTAAGATACAAATATTTTTGAAGTTATAAAAATTGTTCTTTTTGATAGAGAGAATTTTGAAGCAACCAATCTTGGAAAAGGAATGTCCACACTCCACTGAAACAAGGAATGCAAAAGGTTACTATACTGAGCTTACAACAGGTTATAAAGGATTTAGGAAATAAAGTAATAATGACTTAACTTTAAAATTTAGTAGTAAAAATGAAGAAAAGACAACTGATGTATCTTTAAATATTGGACAGGAACGAACTGGTACCAGATGTCGATTTATAAGCGCTCAGGAATAGGTTGACAGGCCCAAGTGATGATCACAGGTCAGGAGTTCAATAAATCGTGATGAAAGCCCACACAGAAAAAAAGGTGGGTAAAAAGTTGTAAAGATAGAGGATAAAAGTCGTTAGGATACAGAGTAAAGGATAAATTTGTGATGGATAAAAATGTTACTAAAATATTACTATAGAAAAATGGATGTCATATTTGAGTAAACTGTCTAATTTTAATAAAAATATTAGTAATTTTACACTTAACCTTTTAAATCCACAAATTTTATATAAATAAGTAATTGCACGTGGAAATATTTTTCCTATAATTATTGTCTATTAATAAAAATATCTTTGACTAATACAACTGACAGCTGACGACAGTACGTAAGTAATCAGAACTGGGAAATTACAACTCAACGTCTGTATTGTTGCACGAAAGCAGAGTTGGGTAGTAACTGAATTTTTTGTGCGTATTAGGCTGTGTCAGTTCATCGAGATATTTCGAGTTCAAGATATGACGTCAGAGGTCTGGAGGGACAACAAACAGACGACACAATGTTTTTCTTACGGGGAAGAAAATTTGTTTTCACTTTCATCAATTTTATTCATACTTTAAACACGGAAAACGCTTGTTGACATATAATAAAATTAAAATGTGTGTTGATAATTAATTTTGTTATATATTTGATTCATTTGCATTGATAGATTCTCTGAATTCGTGATAAAATATAAATATTGAGGTTAGGGGTGTTTGTTTACTACATAACTTGAAATCTTTTACTGCTGCATTGAATCTATCAATGCAAATGAATCAAATATATAACAAAATTAATTATCAACACACATTTTAATTTTATTATATGGCAACAAGCGTTTTCCGTGTTTAAAGTATGAATAAAATTGATGAAAGTGAAAACAAATTTTCTTCCCCGCAAGAAAAACATTGTGTCGTCTGTTTGTTGTCCCTCCAGACCCCTGACGTCATATCTTGAACTCGAAATATCTCGATGAACTGACACAGCCTAATACGCACAAAAAATTCAGTTACTACCCAACTCTGCTTTCGTGCAACAATACAGACGTTGAGTTGTAATTTCCCAGTTCTGATTACTTACGTACTGTCGTCAGCTGTCAGTTGTATTAGTCAAAGATATTTTTATTAATAGACAATAATTATAGGAAAAATATTTCCACGTGCAATTACTTATTTATATAAAATTTGTGGATTTAAAAGGTTATGTGTAAAATTACTAATATTTTTATTAAAATTAGACAGTTTACTCAAATATGACATCGATTTTTCTAGTAATATTTTAGTATAACATTTTTATCCATCACAAATTTATCCTTTACCCTGTATCCTAACGACTTTTATCCTCTATCTTTACAACTTTTTATCCGCACCTTTTTTTCTGTGCAAATAATGAGATTCTTCCGCAAAAGAAAAGAAAAGATGATTTTACAAATATTGTGACAGGATAATCATTGAATACTTGGAAGAGTTCTTGTAAATGTAGAAACTTTTAACACTTGACTTGAAAATTCTTCTAAGTCGAATTTGAAATCGAGCAGAGTAACCATACTTGTATAAGATTTTGAATGAGAAGATGACGTGCTGGTAGCAAAATCAGAACTTATTTCTCTTGGCAAATGTAGACCTTTTATACAGGATTTTCACAAAGAGGGTTGACGAATTCCCGGCAGTAGGTTGCATTTTCCACCCTTTTCATTAAAAGGGTTTTGACCATCTAATCGTTGCGGATTAGGGTGACTTCCCCTTTGGCTTTCCAATAAATTATGATAATAAAAGAAATCATTGACATACTCTCTCAATAGAACAATGTATGAACAGGCAATCTTTCGATGTTTATTTTTTCGAGTTCGGAGGAAAACTCTTGTTAGATATAAATAGAACAATGCAATCTTATTACAGAAAGGATTTTTATTACTCACAATCAGATTCGATACAATTTTAGGGTTAGCGAAAGAGCATTATTTATTACAATTGTGTAAAATCAAATAAGGGTTAATTTATGAGATCATAAATAATATTCTTCCGGTACTACCGAACAAATTAATAAGTCAGACTATTAATTTCATACAGGACAAAATGAAGAAAGAAAAAGACTTTGTTACAGAAAATGCAGCTGCAAGGTTTAACAACGTTACAGTGACATGACAGTAGGTTAAAAAAATAGTAGGTAGGTCAAATAAGATTTAAAGTATGACAAAAATAATTTTAATATTATTAATCCAATATAGGTTCAAAAAATGTCAAATGTATGGTTTAATGTAGCTTCAATAAAAATTCAATAAAAGTCCAACTGTTGGTTCAATTCAGGTTAAGGTCCAATGTTGGTTTAAGTTAGATTCAATTAATGTTTCAATGTAGATCTAATATAGGTAAAGTAATAAAAAGGTAAACCTAATAAAGGTCCAATGTAGGTCTAATTTAGGTCAGAGTAAGTTTAAATTATAGGTTCAAAGTTGGTTAAATAAAGATTTAATGTACGTCCGCAATAAAGATTGAATTTAACTCCAAATAAGTTTTAATATATATGTAAGTCAAAGTAGGTTCAATATTGGTTTAAAATATGTCCAATGTAGAGGTTGAATATAAATTAAATGCTGATTCAATTTCTTAAAACGCATTACTTTTCACAGAAAGATCGTGGAAGATTACATAAATAATAAATAAGATCCAGTGATTTCTTTGTGCGACATATAAAATTTGGTTTGGTTAGAATTTAAATAAAAATTTAAAAAATAAATCTTAAAAAAAAAGTTTTTTAATTTTTATAAGTCAATATCGTTCCAATATTAGGTAAATTAGGTTATAAAATGTTTTGTTTAAAATTTACGAAATTTGAAATATTAATAAATTTCTTATTTTAATATTTTTCTTATACTTTTTTTTTTTTTTAAAGAAAAAGATCGTATATTCATAACAAAAATAATGTAGCGAACATTCGCGCTTTTTAAGAAAAGCATGCGCAGTAAGATAATTGTGAGTCACATTAGTGAACCAACCTCTCAGCGAGAATAATGTTTTGATGACTTCTATGTGTGTATGTTTATATTTCACGTTATCAATCATATAAATAATCAATGAAAATTATTTATTTTAAAAGGAAAATAATTTCAAAAATTTGCAATGTCTAAAAATTTTTTTTCTCGCATTTATAAACATCAGTATCCTTTAATTTTTGGTTCTTTTCTTGTGATTGGAACTATGATTTCTTTCAAAAGGTATATATAAATATAATTATTATAATATATAGGTTTATAATAATTTACACAATTCAAATTTATTTCAATTATGTTAAATAAATATAATTATTAGTTTAATGTTAAGTTTTTTTTTTTTGAATAGATAAATTTATTTTGCAATGTATAAGAGATAATTTATTCCCTATTGTGTAATCTTTTATTTTTTTTATAATTATTACAAAAAATAGAAGTAAATAAACAATTTTTCTTTATTGTTTTTAGAAGAGAAATTTTATCAACAATTGAAGTAAATACCAAAAAATTTGAGACTGATCCAGAAAATGTGAGCATTTGGGAAAATTTTCAAGAAAAAATGAAAAACAAACCAACATCCAGTACTTAAACTTTTGAATCTAATATACATAATTTTGTACATTCTGTAGGATATGAAAATTTGTTTTTGTTATTAAATTTTTTCATACTTAATGAAATGTTTTTTTTTTTTTACTACAATTGTAAATTAAATACAAAAAATAATATGACATTGAGAAAAGGATGTGGAACCTAATTAACAACGTTACGTCGTTTTCTTGTCGTATTGTCCCATTAATTTTATTTTGAAACCGGATATTTATTTAATTCCATGAAAAATCTAAACTTTTACGTTGAATTTGGATAAAGTAAATATATTTCTCTTAGTTTATTGTTGTTGACGTTATTAAAACTGATGATCCGGTTCAAAATCTATGTTCCTATAGTGAAATATCTCTTTTAAAAAAAAGGTTTCACTAGAGTATGAATAACCAGGTTATTTATAACTATTTTTTAATGAAAAGAATACTTTAATATTATTGAAATATATATATATAATTATATTGAATAAAGAAAGAGCGGTAACAAAATATATTTAAAATAGATTTAGAAAAAAAAAATCTTAAAAATGACTTTGTTTTTTTTACCTATTGAATACGAATACCATCTTAAAAATTAAATACTTTCTTTGAAAATAGTGGAAACTTATAGAAATAAAGCAAAGATTTAAAGACTTAACAATTTATTTTAATAACTTATTTATTACAAAATTTTATTGTGATACTTTCATTTTCTTGATGAAAAAAAATTGTAGCCCCTTAACAAACCTGTAAAGAAAATATACATATTTAATGTAGTAATATTCATTTTTGTTTTTCAACAATTAAAGAGAAAATTGGAACTTTTTCAGATAGAGCTAATAATGTAACATTCATGAAAGATTCAGTGTCTCAAAAAGACAAAAAAAAATCATCATTATAAGTTCACAAAATATTTCAATTTAATGTTAAATCTTTAAAGTGTATCATATTAAATTATTTCAGTTTCAAAAAAATATATACATACCAGTTAATTAAATTTGCGTCTTACATCAGTCCTCTGCATTTCTGTAATATTTTTAAAAAAACTATATAAGTCTTTTCTGTTTTTTTATTAAATTAAAAATCTCTTATTTTTAATTTTAAAGAAAAATCAGTGGTAGTGACGAATAAAGTGTGACATCATAAAAAATGATTTCAAACACAAGCCTCATCATATTTCAATTTTTATAATTAATTTCCAAAATATTTAATTTACAAATATTTTAAGTTAATAATATGGGTATTAAACAGATAATAAAAAAAAAATTAAATATCTTACAGCTTTAAGTTTCACGCTGTGACTTTTCTTTATAGAGAACTCCATAAAAATGAAAGTGGATTCTTTTATTGGATCAAAGTGAATTCCATGGTTAGAATGTTGAAATCAATTTTAGTCTTGGTTGATTAAAATTCTCAGTTAACTTTCCAAGTTTCAAGACAAGATTGAGTTTCTGCAAGAGAAAATTGTTTCATTAAATAATATAGGATTTTTCAAAAAAAGCAAACATTTGCAATTTTATTTTAAATACAATCAGATAGGAGCGAAAGACATTTTTAAGTACATTCCTCAATATAATTCGGTTGAACTATGAAATCATCATGCGAATGAAAAAAAAAGATAAATCTTTTACTAACTTTTTCATTTACACTGAAACCTCCGAACTTTAGACTGTGTTGATTTTAAACTTTAGATAACAATGTACGAGCAATCTAAAGTTAGGAGATTCCAGTATATTTAATAATAATAATAATAATACAAAATTAATATAATACCTTATTTTAAGTCTTCCCGACAATCTCAGAAGACTCCAATTTCAATTTTCCAAAGAATCTTTTCAAAGTGTAACACTCAATGTACACTAAAAAAAAAGAAAAATCATTGTATTTTTGCACAAGCATAAAAAAAATAGTTTTATTTAAATAAAAATATCAGATAGGAGCGAAAGACATTTATAGTACATTCCACAATATAATTCGGTTGAACTATGAAATCATCATGTAAATTTAGGATTTAATTATATCCCACACAGCACATTATATTTCCTAAACATTTCATGAATATTTCATTGAAAGATTTGAAATATTTCAATGCAAGGTTCATGAAATGTTGAGGAAAACAGGAAAATGTCCGCCTATAAGAAATATTGCCGTGCAATTTTGCTGAAATATTACACATGAAGACTCTGCAATATTCAGGAAACATTTCAAAGAAAGTTAGAAACTTTTTTAAAATATGAAATCAATCGTTATTTTCTAACATGTTCAACACCTTAAGATCCTGGAAAATTAAAAACTACTGCGCAGCTGTACAGACCATAGAAACTGAGATCGACCAGTGCGCATCATTTAAGTTGGAAATTTTCTATAATATTTTAATGAAATATTTCAGAAATATTTAGGAAATATCATGTGCTGTGTGGGATATTTTTAATCATTTAGTAAATACCTGCTCAACTTGCTTGATTGTGGGAAATTTTGAAGACAGTCATTTTTTGAAATGAATTTTCACATCATTCATATAGAATACTGAAACAAAATAATAATATTTATTTCGGTACTAATAAGAGAAACTCTAAATTTATAAATTACAATGAAATGTCAGATAGGAGCGAAAGACATAAATCTAATTGTCTTCAAATCTAATTCAGTTGAACTATGAAATCATCATTTGTTAAAAAATTATCATTTCTTTTTGGGAAGACTTTTTAATATGCATAAAAATCGTTTCAACAATTGATGGTCTCGAATTAATCTTTGTGCTAAATTGAATCATTCCATCAATATAAGCTTTGATAACTATATTTTTTCTTTCATTTATTTTCCCAATTTAATAATAGATAAAAATAAATTGTTAGAAATGACAAACTTTCATATTAAATATTTAAGAATTTTATGATATTTTCTAATCAATTTTTTTTAATTCAAGACCTCAATTTTAAAATCTAAATAAATTTGTTTTTAAATTTACCTCATTTTTTCAAGGTTTTTTAAATTTTGCTTGAACAAAAATTCTCGGCACATCGATGTTTTCTTTTAAATTAATTGTTCGTCTGTGAATATACGAACAGGACACAGTTTCAAAGCCACTTGATTCGAAAAGATTTTTAATCTCTTCAATTGAAAAATAGTAGCTTCTGAAAAAAAAAAAAAAAATTTCACATTAATTATAAATAATAATTTTTGAAATAGAAAAATTCTACTACTAAAAAAACAAAGTCAGATAGGAGCGAAAGACATTAAATAGTATGTCTTCAATAGAATTCAGGTGAACTATGAAATCATCATATTAAAAAAATTAATACAATTTAGTATAATATGCAAAATAAAATCTATAAGAATTTTTACATATTTACATAATGGATCAAAAAGTTTAGCATTCAAAATTTCATGTATATACTCACACACCTTGTGCCATCTTGTCGCATATAAAAATTTTCTGCAATTTTATGTCCCGCCTTAAATCTCAGTTGAGCCATGTCATATAATCCGTAATCTCGAAATAATATCATGCCACCGTTGTTCAATTTATCGAATAGATTTTCTGCTACTCTGCAATGAAAAAAAAAAATTCCAGTAATTATTCCAATTCTACATGTTCATTCAGCGGGAGTTTTTTTTTTTTTCAAGTGCCCATTGAATCATTAATTTACCGTTTAAATTTATCTGGATGTACTGCTGACAAGACGAATATGAGAGTTGCAATATCTATTGGAATATCGATATTTGAAAAACACTTTTCCAATGTAACGTCAGCTTGAAAAGCTTCTATCTTTTGTGGGTCATAGAGATTGTGCATCTAAAAGTAAAATGATATACTCAATATTGCATTATTAACATCACATTCGATATGAAATATTGTTTTTTATGATCAATTTCATATTCATTTTATAATATAACGTTCAACAAATTCAATATTCAGATCATTCAATTGAAATTTAATAAAGAAAAAAAGATGTTTCAATATTACAAACTTAAAAGTGCATTATATAATATTAATGGAGAATAAAAATTAAAACTCTCAACTATTACAATTTTCATATTGTATAATCTTAAATTTAGATTTTTTTTTTTTTTTTTGTAAATATAAATATCATAAAAAAATGCTTTAATTTCAACTGTAATAATTTGAATTATGTAGTCATAATTTTCGAAAATTTTATTAATAATCAAAACAGCCTGGACGTATTTTACGTTCATTTTAAAACTCAGATTTCTATGTGAATTTTACTACTACTTTAAAATTTAATGTCATACTTCCATTTTTCATTATATAATAAAATTAACTAAAATTATGACTACGTAATTTAATTTTACAACATAAATTGAAATATATTAAAGTGATATTTTTTGTGACTCTATTATTCATTTGAAATTTTTCTCCATACAGTATATCTAAATTTTTTAACAAATATTATTTCTCAATAATATTCTAATATTACTGCAATTTAAGGTACTGTATGGGTCTTTTGTATATTAAAAAATTATTTTCAAAAAATTACGAATGTGCTACTTTAAAAGTATAAAGTTTAAATCAGTTATTGTATATTTACTGCTTTGAAATAAGTTCAGTTACAGATTTTGGAAAAATTACAAGTTCAATCCGTAAAATAAGACAAAATTTTTTTTTACAGTGTGTGAAAAAAATTTTGTTACTTTTCTAAAAAATCACAAAAAAAAAAAAAAATTTCTAAAACTTACCTTAACAAATTCAATTGCCCTTGGCGATAAATCACAGGCAAATATTTTTTTAACATTAATTCCATCTTCAATTAATGGATAAATAAAATTTCCAACTCCACAACCAACTTCCATAAGAATTTGTTCTTTAGAGTCGTCAATATCTAATAATTCTTGAAATTCTCTTGTCGTCCAATGACGATCTTTAAAGAATCTTGTTTCATTTCTTTTATAAAATAAATCCCAATATTTTTTAGCATCTTTTTCTAATTGTTTTGCACGAAATTGAGAAATTATTCGTGAATTTTGAGCGTCAAGTTTCTCAATTTCTTGTGATGTTAAACGCTTCACCACGTGGTCGGATTGAGGGAAATCCGCCATTTTTTACTCGCGCAATACATATATCACGATATAACTTTAAACTAATTTTAACATAAATAAATTTTATTATGATACTAAATTTTAAATTAATTATTTATAAAAATTATTAAATTGACGACAATAAATTACGTATTCTTTGGTGAACAAAAAAAAAAAAAAATTTAATCACATACAAAAATTATACACTGCTGCTGACGAAGTTCAAGAGAAAGTGAACGAGAAAAATGTCGTCGTCGTGCTCTGGATCGTTACGAAAAAGACCACAAAATTAAGGACTGGCGCTGTTGTCACGCTGTTGCCACATTTATATTATTTTGAGCGGGATAATTTAAAAAATGTTTTGTATATATACTTTTGTATTTTATTTGTTATATTAAAATTTTTTATTGATTAATGTTTTGATTTATTATTGTATTATTTTTGCAGCCTCATGGAGGAAGCATTGTAATACTGAAATTTTTCGAACTTGATTTTTTGATGTATCTTTATGTTTTTCGACCTCAGGAATCCAAAAATCACATTTTTATAAAATGTCGTTCCGTGTATATTTATATATATATATATATATATATACATTTTCTTAAATATCTCGAATGCTATAAGAGCTAAAGGGATAATTTTTTTTTAAATTTGTAGTTCTCACTGATGGACAAATAATGAGTACTTTGAGCAATATTAATACCCCCACAGCACCGAAACTTTCCTAAAAATATATTTGAAATATTCGGAATATTTAATTGCAATGTTTAGTGAAAATTGTGTAAAGATTTAAATGTCCCAATTAAATAAATGTTTAGTGTGAAACTTTGTGAAACCTTCCTGAACATTTATTCAAGTGGGACATTTAAATCTTTACATAATTTTCACTAAACATTGCAATTAAATATTCCGAATATTTCAAATAAATTTTTAGGAAATCTTTAGGAAAGTTTCGGTGCAGTAGGTGTAAAGATTAACTCTTATTTTTTTTTTCATTTAAAAATTTTTCAAAAATCGTTTTTTTCCCATAACTTTAAAAAAATGTTAAAACACCTATGAATATTTTTTTCTTTAATTTTGTAGAGTTTTTTGAGACGCATCTTTTAAGATGTTATATAGCGAACATTCTACTGATATTCTAACCAAAGTTATTGAATTTTTAAAAATTAAAGAAAAACGTTTTTTGCCCATAATTTAAAAAAATGTATTGACACCAATATATATTTATCTTTATTATTGTAGAGTTTTTCAAGACGCATCTTTTGACCTATTAGCGAATATATCCTATACTGTTATTTTATCCAGAGTTATTAACATTTTGAAATTGAAAAATTTTGAAAAACCTGCCTTATTTATTTAAAAAATATTTATGTATCTTTAAAAGTTATATAAACAACTTGGAGAATATTTAAAAACGAATCAATTGATCTATTATTGAACCTTTTATTGTGAAATATTACGAAGTAATTGATGTTAAAAATCTATCTCTGCAAATACCCAAGAAATACAACTTAATAACATCTTCTTAAAATTATTATAATGCCAAATAAGTTACCATAAATTGATTAGAAAAAATCTCCATGGGGAAGCAATAAGCGTTCATTTTATGAACAAAAAAAGTTCATACTTCAATTTTTATTTTATTTTTTTTATTTCTTGCCTTACACTTTATATGTTAATTAATATGTTGTTACATTTAATGTGTTATATGTTGTTTCGGCAATTATTATTAATGTTTTGTTTTATTCTCAATATATGTGTTATACAACTTATTATGTTTTTTTGAGTAGTACTAGGTACATTTTAATTTATTTTATTTTTTTATTTTTATTTAAATTATTTTAATTTATATTTATTTATTAATTTCATGACTATCAGATTATCCAAGGGAGGGTAAGATTTTGAAAACAAAACCATTTGCTTAAAACTATTATTGTAAACTTTTTTGGAGGAGGGTTGATTTTGAAATAAGATTTTTAAAATTAAAAATGTCGAATTCAATATGGTGGGCTAATATTTAATAAATTCGCTTAAAACTTGTTACTGGGGAGTTTTTGAGGACAATAATTGTAAATCTGAAGTCAGATTTTTTTGTAATAACTTCATCAACAATTAAGTTTACAATAATCCTGTCCTATTAGGCATATCTTTTTTGAAAATTAACTAAAGGTATTAAAGTGTCCTTAACCTGGAACAAAAGAGTCAAAGAATATATTCCATATCTACCTATATTTGTTAAACATAAACAATTGATTGATAAATACATTAACTGACTCATGCATTTTGATAAGCAAGAAAAATTATTTTTCATGTTAAACACGTTCAATAAAATGATATTTCAATACAATGTGCACATATATTATAAATATGTGTGTGTTCAATGAAGACGACGCACAATGACATAGAGTCCTAAAAGAGGTTGGACGTGATCAAAATTTTACGAACCAACCACATATATAGTACAATATATATATCTACAATATCAGATATACGACGACTTTGTGACACACTATAACACATAATGTATATACACAAACCCTACATTTTCATTTATGTGACTGAAATTTGATTCAAAATTTTCTTCCAAATGGGTTTCAATTCCATTATTGTGTATTTATATATACAAACAAATAGCATACATAATAGGTCTTTCATTGTTGAAAATTTTGAATAATAATAAAGTAATATATGTATGTAAATTTATATATATATGTAAATAATATATATTGAATATCCATACCTTTTTTGTATATTAGTTTAAAAAAACGGCACTGTTCTTTAAACTAAATAAAACACACTTAAACAATCTATATAATATACAATGTTTAGAAAATTAATATATAAAAATTAAGAAGAAACGACCATTTATTATATTTAATTTGCATTTTTATATGGTTATATCATAATATTTTAATAGAGCTGCATATAATAATGCTTGTGTTCTACTTATCTGAAATTTCATGCTTATTGAATTGACAAAATTGCGTGCTTTAATATTATTTTAATAGCACTGGTTTTAATGACTTTTCTTCTCTTATTATAAAAGGTACAATGCATAATTTACAATAACCGTACAATTTTGTAACTATAAATTGTAATTTATATACTACACTTATGTAAATTATTTCTAATTTATCTGTATATATATATATTTCTATAATATACGTATACATATACAACGGTTAAAGTTTTTCTTTCTTATTTTTCTTTTTTTTTTTTTTTGAGAAATGATAAAGATCTGAAATTTGTACATGAATTATTTATTACAATCGCATTTCATATTTTACAGTTTTCATTTTGCTTTAATCACAAACTTTCATGCTTTTAGAAAATTTCTTTTCGACGTCAAATAATCAACATTTACATTTGAAATGAGTAATTTACAAAATTAAGACTCAATTTAGTTACTCGTGTTAATTTATTTCCAAGTATATAAACTTTTGCATTATTGAAAAAAATATCTTTTTAATTGTTTATGATTATATTTAAATATTAATAGTTATATTTTGTTGTATAGATTGTTTTGTATACCTATATATATTTTATTTCTTTACCGGTATTAGTCTCGTTAAAAAATGTTCCTATTATTTGCTAAAAACATTATGTTGTAAGGAAAAAAATTAACTTTGAAGTATGCGTATACATAATAATTTTAGTTTATGAATGTTTTTGCTTCGACACATATACAATATATATTTTAAATAACTGCTGTAAATAACAAAACAGAATGTGCGGTGAATAATTTCACAGTAATACGCGGTGCGAACAATATATGAATAAGCATTTACTTCAAGCGCAATATATATATATATATATATATTTATTTATTTATATCAGTTTCCGCAGTTTCTTCTTCATTGTAAAAGCAGCAATAATAATAATAATGAAAATGAGAATTTCTAGAAGAGAGAAGAGAGAAAAACAGTTTTTGATTACACAGTGCTCGAATCGAGAACTTATTTTTTTAAACAAACTTTTGGCACTTATCATAGATAAACCTAATTCAAGTTACCCTAAATGGCGTTAGTTTTGTATTTCAAAATATTCGCTACTTTACATTTTTTTTGGCAATTACAACACACTTTGTTTTTAATCAAAGAGCATCAGATTCACTCCGTCAGTTTGGAGAAATTCATTAATTACACGTTTAATGTTTTTTAAATACTGACTTTAAAATCGTAATCGGTGACCCCAAAAACCCCCGAATAATATGTATTTCAAGTGAATCCAATGAATTTTTAAAAATTCCTCCACCATATTGGATCACCCATTTTCAATTTCTCTAAGCTGATATATTAAATTTGTAATCAGCGGCTCCAAAAACCCATAAATATCAGGTTTCAAGTGAATTCAATCTGCTTTTTTATTAGGAACAAAATTTTTATTTTGTAATTGACCAAAAAAAAAATGTAAAAGAGAAAATTAGTAGTTTAAGACAAAAAAATTAATTTTCATTTTTTTTTGGCGTTTTTGATAGAAAGAAGTACGCTAATTGAGAATTCGATGTCAATTTTTTCAAATTCAACATGGCGGATCGGCCATATTTCTACCGACATTTTGATTTTTGAAAAACTGTTACCAAATTTGTAATCAGAGTTTCTAAAAACCCTTAAGTAAAAAGATTCAATTAAATTTGATCAATTTTACAAAATTCTCCCACGTATTATATTGGATCCATCTTTTTAAATTTTGAAAATCTGATATAAATTTCGTTATCAGCGACCTCAAAAACCGTTAAATAACGAGGTTTAATAACTAAATCCAGTAAATTTCTTAAAATTCTTCACCATATTTTATGTGTCTTTATTGAAACTTTTTAAATCTGATGCTAATTTTAAAAATTTTAAATGGCAGAATCAATGTGGCGAAAGATTTTTTAAAAATTGCGGTTAGATTCACTTGTAACTGTCACTGATTACGAATCCATATCAGTTTTTCAAAATTCAAAATGGGGAATCCAATAAGGCGAAAGATTTATTTTAAATTGATCGGATTTCCTTACAACTTTATACTATCAAGGGATTCTAAAAATTATAAGTTTTTGAAATTTTTTAAAAAGTGATTAAATTTCCTTGAAACTTGTCACTCTCAAGTGTTTTTGGGGTCGTTAAATCTAAATCTGAGCTCATTTTAAAAATCCAAAATGGCGGATTCAATATGGCAGGCAATTTTTTTCAAAAATTGATCAAATTTCCTTGAAACGTGTCACTTGAGGGTTTTTTTGGAATCGCTGAATCTTTGATTTGATTTTTTTAAATCTGAGCTTATTTCTAATATTTGAAGAAACATCTTCAATACATTATATTTAATTTTTATTTAAAAATCCGCAAGTGTCTTGAAATTTTATCAATTTATAGCGCATACCAAATTTGCCTCTTTTTATATTGTAAAAACTCTACAGCACTTAATTTGTCAAGTCTTTCATGACTTTATTTCCAACTAATGAAACCTCAATGATTATATACATTTCAGATTCTAACGAACTTGAAAAACATTTAGAAAAAGCATAAAAAAAAAACTAAAACCACAATATCTAGGTACTAATAGAAAAAAGTAAAACAAAAAAAGAAATAAAAATAAATGATTTCCAGTGATTCGTATTTTCTCTATATAAGATTAGTCTTCACCGCTCAAGCCTTGTGGTTAAGTAATAATGAAAATTTTTTTTTTCTTTTCTTTTTACCTGACAATTGAATCATAGAGATAGAAAATGAGAATATAAAAATGCATATAATAAGTTTTTCTCCATCGCACTTTTAAATTGGAGTGTGGCTATGGAATTCTATGATCGTCTCATGGCAGGTTCAGCTTCTCTCGAATGGCATTTGCTTATGGATTGGATATGCACAAACACGTTTGTGAGAGCCGCACGTCTCTGACAAACCAAACGTGAATGTGGTTGATACTCTTGAAGGCGAAGATGCCTTCGCCATTCGTATATATCGAGAGGTAGGCACGGCGGCTGAAAACCGTTCCTCGTGGGCATTCCAAGCGGGAATTCTCTAAAGCCAGTTTTGTATGGACATAGCCAGTGGACGCGCGCACTTTCAAGTTATAAAAGCATCTCTTTCGCGTGCGCGCTCTTTCTCATATAAATACTATATGGTGTATTCATATGTGTTAGTAAAATTTGCATTTTGTAAATATTTCCCCTTCAATTTGGCAAAAATTTCATCACAAAATTCCTTACATGCAAAATTGCATTCAATACTTTGGAAATTGTAGAAGCAGCAATGTAAATATATATATATAAACACATTGCTTTTTTTACATTCTCGCGTTCTTAAATAATATCTGTATGAAAACCTAAATTTAATAAAATGTATATAAATAATAATCATTACTATCAATAAAAAAAACTTTATTAATAATATTATTAATTTATATTATATTTTTTATATCAATATTATTTTTTTTAAATAATTCATTATTTGTCTACTTATTAATTAGTTAACAATTTACTATTGTTATAATAATAATAAAAAAAAAATTTGTACTATTAAAATTTTTGTCATTAATAATTACAACAATGTTGAGATAGAAATTTTTTAAAAAATTTAATTACTTTTTTAATAGAATGTACAGTAGGAGTGTTTATTAATGTTACCAAGGTGCGGTAGTGAAAAAATTATTAAGTGTTGAAATTTTCAATCAATTTAATATAGTGATATTTTTTTTCCTAAAGCTCACGGATTATAATCCAATTTCAAAATAGGAATATTTGCTCCTCTTTAATAATTTTGTAAGTAAAATGATTTCGATTAATAACTACCAATCTATAAAAATTACTTTATATCTATACTAGTGTACAGTACAGTAAATTAATATTTACATTTATTAATTAATTTAATAATTAATTATATTAATAGTAAATACATTTATTAAAAAGTTCTTTTCTATTCTTTACATTTAAAATTATGCTCTTCATTTTTTTTTTTTTTTGGTTTAGAATATTATAATTTTTATAACTATAATTTAATGAAATAAAAATAACGTAAAATAATTTTTAATTAATTAATGAAACTAAATGCAATAATTTACATTGAAATAATTAAAAGCATAATACAATTAATTAAAGCATTAATAAGAATTCAAATTTGATAATTATTTGATAATAATGTGACTTTCTTTAAATAAACTTTCTGCCAATCTTGCAATAAGAATGGAAAAAAGTACGTGGTCATCATTCATATATGAAAAACTTTGTATACACTATCATTTTATTATGATTTCGTGAATCTTCAATATATTATGCAATCATATTGGAATGTACATTTTTTTCACGGGAAATTAAACATTATAATTATTATTTATTGCAATTGTTTGAAAAGTTTTTTTTTCAATATATTATTGCCACAAAAATTCCGCATGATATATATATATATATATATATATATATATATTGCCCTGACACATAATTATTTCAAAATCGCAAAATTAGATATTTTTTATATATATTCTTGAAAAATAAACACATAAATATATTCGCATTTTAAATAGGAAAAAGTAACGATTTCATTTCTGTAAACAAATAAAATTTATAAATAAAACATGAAACATAATATTTTGTCGAGAAAAAGAAGTATATAGATATACAATATTGGCATTTCAGCAGTGGAATAAACATTCGAAATGTTTCCATTTTTATTGTGAAAGTATTTCAAGTAGTGGAAAAAGTTCGTAATGGTCAGACCTGGGCGAAAAAGAGGAATAAATTCCCTACTATATCACTAATTTCATTTAAAATGAAAGTTTGTCTTCGCTAAATGCTTGTCTGATGCTTTCCAATATTTATTTATTTATATATATATATATTTATATAATTTTCATTCACCGGTATTATCCTATTCATTTGTACGTCTATTATACATATTTATCATAACAAATCTCTCCTCACAATTAAATACAGACTAAAGGGAATGCCATATAGATATATAAACCTATAGAGTACAATTTCAGAACAATAATGTTCATAACATTATTCGACAATAAACATTTGTTTCGCGTGGTTATTTAATATATAGACAATTAATATTAATAATATAAAGAGGATAATCAATATTTATAGTATAACCAATAATTCGTAATACAATACAAATAATCACTTCGAATATAACAATAGATAATTATGTATAACACACAAATTCGAGATAATAATAATTATAAATTTATTATTATGAATAATTATTTACTTAATATTTTTTGCATAAGTAACATTATTTTATACTAAAATATTCATATGTAAATTAATATAGAATTTAAATTAAATTAATTATAAATTATATAATTTTTAATAATTATTATTGAAATAATATTATTATAATAATATAATAATTATACATATAATGTACAAAAATATAAATAAATACTGTTAAAAACAATAAAAGTAAGTAATAAATTAGACTTTAACATTGTAAAAGTTAATTGTAGACATTTAGAAACAATGTTATTAAGATACGTTCGTGGTTAAGTGGCCTAGGTTGCTGACATGCGAGCGGTTAGGGTCGTGCCTTCGATTCCTGCTACTTGAAATTTTTTTTCTATGCTAAGTTTGGCCAAAACAATATTTATATTATATACTATTTTATATAAAGCATATAAAATAAAAGAAGAATAATTAAATAAAAATATTAATAATCTTTACAAAATGAAAAAATCAAGTTTTATTAAAAAAAATATTTAAACAAAAAAATCTTTTTTCTATTTTATAGAAAATAAATTTTCTATAAAAAAAATTGTACATATATATACGAAGGAATAAATAACAAAATTGCATTTTCCAATTAAGATTTACAATATTAAAGTGAAATAATATCCCTTGTTTCTTTTCGTGACAATAGAATTTCTACATGAGGAATTTCAGTATAAGGAAATGAATAATTCCCCGTAACAAAATAAATGCATATTTCCATGACACACCCGTGGACCGAATTCCTTTCTCAAGACCCATTTATATATATATATACAAATTATATGTGCGCGTAAGATTTTTTTTCCCTCACAAAACAATTATTATTATTATTCTTATTTTTATAGAAAATTTTAATATCTTTTATTAAAATCACTTTAAGATTCCATTATATATATATTATTATGGTGTGTGCCCAGTTAAAGTTTATCAGCTATTCTTCCCTTGTGGTGAATCTCTGGCTGGGAATATTGTGAGAGTCTGTCCAAAGCACCTGCTCAAGTGACAGGTGATGCTGCGGGTTATTATTGGATGGATCTCAAACCTGTAATTATAGACCTCGCATATTCTCAGTGTAAATTGCACTTATGCTCATCTCCGTTAATCAAAAGCAGGTTAATAAGATTTTCTATGTATATATAAAGGGAAAAATCATCATTTATTAATTAAATCATTTTTATTATTTTGTATTTGAAAATTACATTTTAGATTTAAAATATTTGTTTTCTTTTTTCAAAAGAAGAATTTGTATTTTCTATTATAGATTAGTAAATATATATATATATATATATATATATATATATATATATATATATTAAAAGAATATTAATTAATAGAAAACATTTTTTTAAAAAAAGAATATAAATTTCTATAAAATAAGACACGAATTTTTTTGATTTGAGAGTATACTTATTTTTCCAAAGGATCTCTATCAGTGTTCTTCAAAAGTATAGTCGAATTTCTTCACAAAGATTCAAGTCCTTTGGAAAAGAACTCGAAAAGAATTAAAACTTTAGAAAAAGAGGAATTTCTAAAAAAGTTTTGTTTTCTTCAAAAATGTGTTCTAAAAAATTTTCAAAAATATGAATATAACAATTATTATTATTATTATTATTATTATTATTATTATTATTATTATTATTATATTGTAAATATTATGCTATTATTTTTATTATTATTTTAATTAACGAGAAATAAAAATCTCAAACACGAGAAAGAAAAAGTCGAATGTAATTTCCGGCGAAACTTGATCCAAATCAATCGGGAGTGTCCATATTAATTAGCATTGCGTTCGAGGAATATTAAAGAGAAACGCCTCTAGTTTGAAAATTCAAAGTTGCTGTATACTATATATATATATATTGCGTGTTATTTAATAGTTTCAACGAAGGTAAGCGATTTCAAAGCAAATGCGCTACGGACTATTTTACATTGCGGAAAATATATTCGCTTGAACGGATTCTAACACTTTCTAATCCTCCTTTTCAGGAAGATCACCTCCGTTTCAATTTTCAACATTCATGTAATTTGTTTCATAGTCAATACGATGAAGGCGTCGAGTTGTATATACAAACTTTCCATTCAAGTGAATTCGTGAGCTTGGAAACATTGCATTCGTATCCTTGTGTTTTATTGCGCATATTTGTTTTTATTTCCTTTAAATTATATATATAGATAAATATCGTTACACATGTGTAATTCACGATATACTAATTACTTTTTAATTATATATATATATATATATATATATATATATATATATATATATATATATATATATATATATATATATATATATATATATATATATATATATATACTTATTGCCGCATCTGTCAAAAAAAAGTTTCATATACATATGTAATTAGAAATTTTAGGTTAAACATACGCTAAATTGACGAGAGTCCAAGTACCAACCTTTTAATACAAAACATATAGATAATGGCGCGAAATTTAAAAATTATTTCAGTTTTTATTCGATTTAATGTGCTTTTTTTATTCTTATATACTACATATATATAGTTTATAGTATATATATATAAATGTTACATTAGATAATCCTTTTGAAAAAAAGTATTTCAACAGAAAAAGAAACTCATGGCTAATATGCGTAATCGATAGTAAATCCCGGAAACTGGCAATCGATCCTTGTTTTCCATTGTTATACGGTTCGCTACTGACAATAATCAAAAGGTTCTATTGCGATGCATTTACAATGCAATAATGCAAAGAATTCTCATTCGCGCGAAATTCCTAAGTCGTAATACTTCAAACGATATATATACCTATTCTCTTATTTTCATATTATATATTGAAAGAAGATATTTAAGGCATTGAAAAGCTCATATTGTGAATATATCTTTTGAATGATTTATCACACGATGCAAGTTTCTTTTATATTTTATTTAATATCTTATGTGTTTTTTTATATTTAATTTAATCAATAATTTCCTTGAAAAATTTCAATTAATAATATAAAAAATTAACTATTAATTCACATTATAGTATAAGAATTTTCACTAATTTTTAGTTTGTTTTTCACTAATACTTTGAGTATATAATATACACTGTTAGAAAAAAACTGAAAATTAAACAACTTTTCAATAACTCACGTAATTGAGTTTTAATACAATTCAAGATAAATTGAAAATTCAAGAACTTGATATAAAATTTCATGAACCTGTAATTAAAAATACAGATATAGTTATTGAAAATTCGAAAAATTCAAATCTGTTATTGAAAATTCAAATCTGTTATTGAAATTTCAAATTTTTTTATTGAAAATTCAAATATGTTATTGAAAATTCAAATCTGTTATTGAAAATCCAAGTTCAGTTACTTGAAATTGTCAAGTAATGGCTAAAGGATACCCTTACAAATTAGTTATCCTAGTAATAGATGATACCTGGATCCATCAACTACCTAAACTCATTTGTGTTTGGTGAGTCTCATTAGTTTAGTGTGAGTTCTTTTTGCGTAAGCATCTTCTCAGGATAAAACTGTTCGGGAGTGAAGTTTATTTTTAAACCTAATATTTGAAGCCCTTAAATAAG